TATCGTGACCTTAAAATCGTATGGTGAGATTGGTGTATCGTGACTCCCCTATTCTAAACGTAACATAGCTAACTTCTTTGAGTGTCATGTTTAGAAGTTGGTGAATCAGATAAAGACAAACTTTATGGATAAAGATCTTCTTTATTCGGATGGTGCGAATTTCGATACAGATTCTTGCATCGGTGTCAAGGAAGCATGAGTCAGGAACGAACGAATTAACAAGTTTAACGTCGGCTACTGGCTGTAGCCAATGTCGCCGACGGGGTAGGTCGGTGCTTATAAAAATGAATATGTTTATAATAGGGAATGAACCACCGTACCCAAAAACATGTAAATAAGGGCGTCAACTTACCTTGAACTTTGAATATAAAAGTTTAATAATACGAGATAAAAATAAATAAAAAGGCCGAAGTTAGATTCAGGTAAAAGCAGGGTGATATATACACTGAGTCATTAATCATACTCAAGAACAGGAAAACAGAAAATCCATTAAACACAAATGATAAATAAATTTACTCATGTTATCTTCTCTACAAACAGACTATTCTTTTCAGATGATGTCCACGGCGAGCAGGTTGACTGTGAAACTTACGTCCTGAGAACGGACGTCCCCCGCATACAGAAAATCTACCGCTGTCTTGGCAAACCTAAAACTGGTCCCAAGACTGTTGTCCATCAGGTATGTCCCCTTGTGAAAATGCCCAGCGCTCTTCTCCAACTGGACAATTCAACTCAGAACGTCCGACCCATGCTAGATGGCGTTACCTATCAGTTCCAGATCATTGGCATTCAATCAACCGTCGTCAGTGACGTCATCAGTTCTGTGGCGGGACTGTCGCTGCATGGATGCAGTGTGGCATGCACCGGAGACCAAGTCTGCATGGCCTTCGCGCATGGTGCAGACGGCACGTGTGTGTTGGCATCTGCATGCAACCCGTCTATGACAGCTCAGACTGGGTTCAGCGTCTACGACATATCTCAATGGTACCAGGACTGACGTGGCAGGAGTCTTCATGTTTGGAGGAAATATATTGAATAAACGCTTTGGAAAATATGTCGAATAGTCACACATTTATACATCATTCTTGTCTTTAAAGGAACAAACAACTTGATCACACAAATATCCTGTGCATATCGATATCCCAGCTTCGTCACTCGTGACGTCATAGTGGAGAGACCTACGCCATTTTAGTTTGATTACAGTGCATTATCTACATGAGAAATCAGAGATTTCCCGTTATTGTCGCTACATACAAGACTCAAAACGGGATAGCGAGTTCGAACGGGGCTTTGGTGCCCTAATTCATCAGGCCAAAGCACCCTGGTCGTTACTTTCGATTTCGCAAAGCGAGATTTAGCGAGAAGGAAAGTTTGGATATAGCGGTGTATGGAGACAAATGACAATCGTTGTTTTCTCTATAATCACAAGAGCAACTGTAAAACATGTCTGTATTTTGAGCGATTCGGTGTTAATAAATTATCTGGATTATTTCATTATTCGTTTGTTTGTGTGTTTCGGTATTATAAGGAAGACGTTGTTATAAGACCCCTCTATTGATCGGTGAAGTGAATACTATTACAACTGTTTAAACGGGGGTATTACTGAACCACTGATCGCTGGACAATACAATTAACACAATATTCATTTGTTCACAAAACATATCTTGGTTTAGCCCTACGCTATTTGTTACGAATACCGACAGCACCGTGAACATTGTCGTGTCCGTTGTATATCTAAACCTGGCACATTTTACACAAGAATAACTGTTTTACATTGGTTATAAACAGATCAACATCGATATTATTCAGAATTTTCACTACATCATTTATTTTATCATTATTATTTATTATAGGATATTTTATATAGCGCACATATCCACGCAACTATTTATCCCTCGATCATTGGATGCCAATCTCAACGGCACATCGTATTATCAATCTCAACTCCCTGGAGAGCATACAGCTAGAAGCAGCCTACGTTCCCTGGTTTCTCTGCGTTGACATCAATCAGCTGATTTTTCAATCGATCGATATACCACTTTCCTCACAGCCGTCAACACGATTTTGCTGATACGTAGACGAATATGTGTAAGGCCACTGAGGGAATGTTCAAGGTTTCATCGTTGACAGTGCCTGGTAATGCCAAGGCGAACGCTAGCAATGTACCAGCCAGAAACAACTGTGACGCCAGGTTACTGATGACAACGGGTTCACAAGCAGTTTCTAAAATTCGACCTGGTTTTTAAGTTTTGATTTTACAGATATTGCATTTATGATTTTTCCTTCATGTAGTTGTTTCAATGCGCTGTATAAATGAATCGCATGTTCACTTTATACTGCATATGTCGCCACAGTACGGGGGTATTATGTATGTTTGATATGCGATGTGTCTGATATGAATGTACCATGATTTGTATGAGCAGTTAATCACATTAGGAATGGGGGGATTCGAGTTTCTGTTGTTAGGGTATTTGGGACTGAGCGTTGCGATAAAAAAAAGTGCATTTATAATGTTGAGTCATCATTTATTTAAACCGTGTATCCGTCGTATTAGGGTCAAGGGCGGCCTCCAATATGTCATTAAATATCTTTCAAACGCTTTTGGTGTGTATCTTATTATTTAGGCCATTTGCTGTGCTATGAGTGGAGTTTAAATAAATTGAATAAACTGCGTTTAAATAATCATCAATGTAAAACTTCTATACACATTGAATTTAAATATTTCTTGTGGCTTTATATCAACCATAATACCTTCGGTAACTGCTTATTCAATCCTTGATATCAAAAGCCATGGAATCACTTGCAATTTATTTATGGCGTAACTGGTCCTTGCACAAGGCTTTCACATTACCATAGTTACCTTGTCATGGTGTTTGTTTCACATTACAATAGTTAACTTGTCGTGGCGTTTGCTTCACATTACAATAGTTAACTTGTCGTGGCGTTTGTTTAACATTACAATAGTTAACTTGTCGTGGCGTTTGTTTCACATTACAATAGTTAACTTGTCATGGCGTTTGTTTCACATTACAATAGTTAACTTGTCGTGGTGTTTGTTTCACATTACAATAGTTAACTTGTCATGGCGTTTGTTTCACATTACAATAGTTGCCATGTCATGGCGTTTGTTTCACATTACAATAGTTAACTTGTCGTGGCGTTTGCTTCACATTACTATAGTTAACTTGTCATGGTGTTTGTTTCACATTACAATACTTAACTTGTCGTGGCGTTTGTTTCACATTACAATAGTTAACTTGTCGTGGCGTTTGTTTCACATTACAATAGTTAACTTATAGTGGCGTTTGTTTCACATTACAATAGTTAACTTGTCGTGGCGTTTGTTTCACATTACAATAGTTAACTTATAGTGGCGTTTGTTTCACATTACAATAGTTAACTTGTCGTGGCGTTTGTTTCACATTACAATAGTTAACTTGTCGTGGCGTTTGTTTCACATTACAAAAGTTAACTTGAGTTTTTAACAAATGTGAAAACAGCTTGCCGTATGACCTGACTCAGTTTTCCCGTCCGAAGTCATACATGGTGTCACAGATAACCTCCAGATGCCAGACCGGAGTGAGATAAGGGTCTTACCTTGACAGAATCAGGTCACCACACCGGATGGGGTGCTCCAGATGTCACAGTGATAACAGGGTGGGAGTCTGTAAAAGCCAAAGAGACATTACATTTATGTTTACATTACAACTTGCAGTTACACTCGTGCGTGGACTTAAACGATTCGGTGTCATTTGTGTTTTGTAACCTTCCAAACGGAGATGACGCATCTAAACGCCTTATGTCAACGCCTACCGACCCTCCTCCCAACGGAAATCACAGGGGTGGGTGAGTGAGTGGGCTGGTTACCTAGGTGGGTACATGAGGCGGCGTGGCAAATGGGGGTCGGGGGAGTGAGCGAGTATTTGTAAAACAACGCGTCTCTTAAATGAGCAAACAGTCCAAATTGAGTTCACCACTTGCAACCCAGGCTCCCGATCTACAAAGCGTTGGTAACGTAACGATGTTGTGAGTGAGTAAATGTAGTTTTACGCCACACTCAGCATTATTCTAGATATATGGCGGCGGTCTGTAAATAATCGAGTCTGGACCAGACAATCCAGTGATCAACAGCATGATCATCGATCTGCGCAATTGGGAACCGATGACATGTGTCAACCAAGTCAGCGAGGTTGACCACCCGATCCCGTTGGTCGCCTCTTACGACAAGCATGGGTTACTGGGTTACTGAAGATCAATTCTAACCCGGATCTTCTCTGGTACGACGATGTTGGGTTACGCTATGATGTCATTGACCATTCTGTACCCCCTTAGGTTATGCTAGGTTGTTGAGGACAAGTTCAAACCAGGGGTCAGATCTACCACACCAAATTGTATACAATACCGAATGAACTACTTCTGAAGCTGTAATAGGGAAATCTCGTGTAAAACATAACTCCTTGCCATGTGCATGAAGCGTTTACATATTCATCATCAATAATTAATTGATAACACACATATAGGCAGGTTTGGTTTTTTAGTTGTTTAGCAGCCCACTCGAAAATATTCTGGCTATATAACGACTGCCTGTTATAACTCTCTCTGATATAGATAATCCTGTGATTGACATAATGATAATCGACCCATGCACATTGGGAAGCCATGACATGCATGAAGCAAGTCAGGGAGTAGCTGATCGATCTAGTCATCTCATACGACAAGCATTAATTTAAAAGATCTGACGTGTTATCACTGTTGCCAGAAAACAACCGGTCAGCCATAAAATCGCTACACTGTAAGAGAGTGATATTTTGTAATTGTCCTAATACTTGTACAACAATCGCTTTCCGACGAATTATCTGAGATTCTGAGATGTGCATGGGTAATAATCGCCCATTCATGGACGTCCTTTCTCTCTCTCTCTCTCTCTCTCTCTCTCTCAAAACATATTTCCGCCCCTGCTCCGTTTAACATTATAGGGTTTGTTGCCTGGGAATTTCTGCTGGGAAGCCCATCGGATATTCCAGGAAATCATGGGTTTTTCCAAAAACAACCCACGCTTCAAAGTATATGGTAGAACACATTTCACACGGGGGGTGGTGGGTTGTCAGTGTTGTTGATTACCAATATTGCAGTTAGCTGTTTATGAAGACCAGAGCAAAGACGTTTATAAATAATACTGTCAGCGTATGCCACCTTCAACCCGTGCAGTGTAAATATATTCACAGACTGTGGATAATTCTATCACTACTGACCTGACAGCCCTGCACAGTGGTGCGCCACGTCATCTGATCCAACTATTGCCAGGCACGCACCTGCCAGTCTCACACAATCTCAGAAAGTGAGCAGAGGAAACGAATCTGGAACTTACAGCCGGACAAATTCTTCAATGTGGCACCGATGCTTGTAAGGTACGTAATGTAGAATTCTGACATGCAGTTTTGCGGCAGCGATGCAGCTATACCGGCTGTCTGGGGCAGGCTGACTCGACCCACCAGACCGTGCGTGGTGTGTGCAGTGTTGAGTATACTCGAGCTAATTGGGTACAGTGAAGTCGGGGCTATGCTGAGTGCTGCAAGTACGAGTGCACAGTACTGGGTTGACGCTGGGTTTAACTAATCATTAACGCAGTCTAGTCAACAAACAAATTTGTGTTGACCTTGTTATTGAGGAGCACAACTCGATGAGGGGTCGAGGAATGTACTTCAGAGAATGTATGGAGAGATTTTCAGATGATACATGAGCAAACGTAAGTGAGAAAATTGAACTTTTCATGTGGTTGTTCCCGTTCAACTGGTGGCGAGTGGTATTGTGCACCGCGAGGTATTCGTTACTGAATATGCTCGTTTCTTATAAAGCGCTATCTAATACAACGGTATGACAGTTCCGATCAAGAAAACGACACAGTGCGGAATGAAATCGTCGGAATGGAATCGTCCTGGGATACGTTTCTGTATTGTGATGTTTCTGTGTACAGAAACGTACCTGGGGTAGGCTACACATCTGTACCCGTGCCCACAACGACCCCTTCAGCTAACTTAACACTGTCACTATGGTCCAAAGATTTCAAAGAATATATCTTGTTATTGTTTCACTGAATGATATTTCAACTGCCTACTTGTTTTTTGTATTTATCTAGCAATAGTCGTATTCGTTACACAATATTTAGCTTTTAAATAACGGTAGATTCTTTGCAGACTTAGTAAATAGTTCATGTTTTGGGTTTTTTTCGGGGTTGTTTTTGTTTTGTTATGTTTTGGTTGTTTGTTGTTTTGGTTGTTGGGGGGGGGGTGTTGTTGTTTGTTTTGTTGTTGTTTGTTGTTGTTGGGGGGTTTTTTTTGGGGGGGGGTGTTTTGTCGTGAGCCATGTTTGCTTGTGGTTGAAATGTATTCGTGCACCCTCACCGAGTTGAGAAGTTTACGCTAAGATCAAAAGGAGCGTTAGATGGATGTAATTGTAAGTGTTGACCTTATTCACCCCTGCACACGCCCGCATGCACACAATGTCTGCAAAATAGATTTTTGGCGTGTTCACCATGTTGGGTGATACATCACTTTGATGTCATAGATAAACTCATTTAAATTACTGGTTGTGCAAACACATACAATGTATATGCGTGATAACACGGTTCATTGTAATCAGATTCTACGTTCAGATACAAAGCCAGCGTATCGTAAATGTACACCTCAGCCACAGCAACATTCAAACCTTTGAACCCCTTATTCTTTGACTGACGTCTACATAAACCTGAAGAACAGGCCGACTTGAAATGCTGTCGAATCTCGCTTATCCGGACACTTGCGCCTATCCAACACTGTCCAAACCAACAAATTTCCCAATCTGAATCCGTGGTCAACTCACCCGGGTCCCTCCCCTACCCAGATGTTTCAGATCCCGAAGAAAATGTATTGTTATGCAGAGCCCCAGATTGTTCGACTAGTGATAAAAAAAGTACATAAAATCTCCATCGTATTGTTTCAGCAGATCCAGGTTAACAGGTGATAACCGGTCAATCGAATGGTTGCATTTGCGATAAAACATAACCAGATATCAGAATTTATTTTTCCGATTTATATCCTGTCTTGCTTGGCATTGTTTTCTATCCAAACTAAGCCGGAAATAGCAGTCAAATGGCACATGCACACTTTTTGTCTCCTCAATCTACCGGAAAGTTGGTTGAAAACACCCATTAATATATATCACTTCACAGAATCTCAGTGCATTGATTGAAACATATGAGTATAGCTAGAAATGTTATTAGATCATTTTAGACGTACTGGATACAAAATCAAATAATCTCTAAATCAAGACATAATCCCTTGGCACACGTAAAATCTATGACTGTCGATTCGAATCTAATCTCAGTTCGCTATAGATATGTCTAAAGGTATATGGCACCACACCCGAGGTCGTAAATAGAGTGAGTGAATTGAGTTTTATGCAGCTTTTAGCAATATTCCAGCAATATCACGGCGGGGAACACCAGAAATGGGCTTCACACATTGTGCCCATTTGGGGAATCGAACCCGGGTCTTCGGCGTGACGAACGAGCGCTTTAACCACTAGGCTACCCCACCGCCCCTCGTAAATAGAAGTGTCAAAACCCCTTCCACATCCACAAGAATAAAAGCAGAGTCGAATGTACAATTGTGACTATATCATGAGTATATATTTGTTTTAGCGGTATTACAGCTGTACGATGTTGTTTGTAAACAAATCAGGTCTGGACCAAACAATCCAGTGAATCATGACAAAATCCCTTGGCATGCGAGAAACCTATGATTGTCGGTTCGTGAGATGCTGTTCGAGGCGGCGTCGAACTAAGACCTCGTACACTGACTGATTCCTTTTCTATTTCAGAACAATGTCTGTGGCCGAGCTGAGGCTGGTGCTGATCCTGGCAGGAGTCATCCAAGGGGCGAGAGTATTTGCAAAGTGTCCTGACAAGTGTTTCTGTAACGTTAAACAGACCTCTGTTAATTGTGGGGGTAAACGCCTCACAGACCTGCCAGGTGATATACCTCTGCAGGTTGAAAAGTTGTATCTTAACAATAATAAATTCACCGCCCTCGCTCCATACGCTTTCTCTAACTTCTCCCAGTTGATGTATTTGGACCTCCGACAGAACAACCTTCAACAGATTGAAGCTGGTGTATTTGCGAACTGTTCACAACTTCAACAGTTGTACCTTACTGCTAACCTTATAGAAACGATCCATCCAGAAGCTTTTGAAGGATCTCAACAAGTCACCTACTTATCACTCGGAGCAAACAAACTGAGGAATGTACCATCTCTGCCTCCTCTTGCTAACCTGCAGAGTCTCATCATGGAAGGAAATAAGATCGTCAATGCAACCTTTCCAGATAGCTATTCAGCAAACACGGCCCTCACCGACATTGTAATGAGCAACAACGCGTTAGACAGCCTCACTAATGCAACCTTTCAATCACTGAGACGCTCTCAAGTTAGAAAAGTTGAAATATCAAGAAGTCACATACAGAAAGTTGAAAGCGGGGCGTTTGAGCCACTGAAGATGTTAATGTCTCTGAAGATCGGATACAACCCCTTAGATAGTCTACAGCTGCAGAATGTCATTCGTGGGCTGAGCCACACAAGCTTGGTGTCCTTAGACATCCGGAACCTGAGTCTTGCTGGAAAGCTGCCCTCCGAAACGTTCCATCTTTTACGCGATACACCAATCAGTTCCCTGAAAATGCAGAGCAACCAGATCTCTAATATACCCTCTGGGGCTTTTGCCAACTTGCCCAAACTGATCCTGATTGATTTATCAGGGTGCAAGATCCAAACGATTTCCGAATCTGCATTTGAGAACTTAACTGTTCTGCAGACTCTATTTCTTTATGGCAATAGTCTAGCAATAGTTCCCCGTGGGTTACCTTCGTCGCTTACTAAACTGAACTTAAACCAGAATCAGATTGACAAACTGAGGAACAGTGATTTTGATAACCTTAAAATTCTGGAAGAGTTGAACCTTGTAAAGAATTCTATTCACGAACTTCAGGAATATGCCTTCTCGGGCCTGATGCAGTTGCAGAAATTACACTTGGGCCAAAATCGGATTTCGACCCTGCCAGGAAAGTTGTTTAACTTGTTAACGAGACTTCTTTCTCTCGAACTGAATGGCAATAACATCAAATCTATCCCTGAAACCGAAGGCCGTTTTTCAAGTCTGGCATCTTTGGTTTATCTGAATCTCGAATCTAATGCACTATCGGACATGCCTCTTAATCTTCTTCGCCCACTCCAGAGCCTGGAATATTTGCATCTTGATAACAACCAGCTTGGGCCTCTCTTAGTCAAAGACAGGTCAGGGGAACTGTTCCAAAGCATGGCCAAGCTCAAAGAACTCCACCTGCGGAGCAATGATATCCACTCCCTTCCTGAACCAATGCTTGCTGAACAGAAATCATTAACCATCTTAGATTTATCCCATAACAGATTGTCACACTGGGAACGCAATTTCTTTGTGTCTACGGAATCTCTACGCACCCTTGATCTCAGTATGAACTTGATTTCACTCATCAACAAAACTTCCATCAGCAATCTACGTTCTCTTCAAAGTCTGAATCTCTCTGGCAACCCTTTTGCTTGTACGTGCGATGCTAGGTGGTTTTGTGGCTGGATGAACACAACTGACATTGTCCTTCCAAAGCAGTCTCTGTACACGTGTAATCTGCCCCCACCATGGCAGGGCAAGGTTATGTCCTCCTACTGCAAGGCTCATATTGACTGCACCGATTATACTTTATACTATATCATAGGTGCAGTTTGTGGAGGGTGTTTTGTGGCGTTTATCACATTGGGAGTTTGTTACAGGTGCAGATGGTATGTGAGATACAGGTGCTTTAGAATCAAACGAGGACTCAGGAGAGTCTGGAGGCCCCGTAAAGACTACACGCGTCTTCCAGGCGATGACAAGCTTTACGACATATACGTATCTTACGCAGATAAGGACAGAGATTGGGCGCTGGAAAACATTATCAGGAGGTTTGATGACGGAGAATGTGCTGGCTGTCAGTGTGAAGGTCGTTACAAAGTTTGTTTTAGAGACAGGGATTTTAATCCAGGTCGAGGAAATATTTCCAGCATGGACGAGTGCCTCAATGCAAGCGCCCGTGCCATGGTAATCGCCACAGATGAATACGTCTCGTGCAAATGGTGCCAATTTGAATTTGATACCCTCGTGGACGCCCAGGTGAAGAAGGTCATCTCGGACTTAATTTTGATCAAGGTTGGCAACTTACACTGCAATATCCCCAAATTAATGGAGAGGATGATTCAGAGACATGAATACATAGAATGGATAAGTAAGGAGACTGCAGAGGCGAATTTCCTTGAAAGAGTAACTGATCAGTTGGGTCCGAACGTAGTTGGAGGTGCAATCCAGGCATGAACGTACATGTTACCTCCTGAAAAAAACTACCAGATGCATTTCAGGCCAAAGTTGACGAATTAGATCTGAAAAAAATGACTTTTGTCCTAGCTCTTCTAGGGGAGCAATCCTAGAGTGAATGGACAATTTGGGAGGAAACCCTACTGAACAACAGTTTCTGGCCCCTGACGTCTAGGCCCAAGTGGACATTTTAGATCTCCGACAAACTAGGGAGCACTTGGGCGGTCAATGTTTGGTGTGGAATCCAGAACTAGTGAAAATATCAGATCATTGAATAAGTAACTGAACACCCGGGTCAGAGCAACAGTGGGGCGTTGACAGACAAAGTTGACAAATCAGATATTTTTTATGCCCCCGCCATATATGGCAGGGGCATATAGGGTTACGCTCGGTGTCCGTCCGTCCGTCCGTCTGTCTGTCCGTCTGTCCGTACGAAACAGGGAATGTATTCTATCCACTTCTCCACCATAACCGCTCTGTGGAATTCAATGAACTTATACATGGGCTTTCTTGGGACTCTAATGGTGTGCATCTCATATTTTGTTTTTATTTTATTGGTTTTTTTTGTAAGTTTAGAGACATTTGAACTTAGGTACATTTTGCTGAATTCCTCTATGATGATAGTGTTATAGGGGATGAAGTCTATCCACTTCTCCACAAAAACTGCTCAACAGAATTGAATGAACTTCTACTCTAAAGGTGTGCATTTCATAATATCATATGCAATTTCTTAATTTTGTCACTTTTACAGATGTTTGAACTTAGTTGAATCTCGTTCTATTCAGCCAGTGTTCGTTCCATCCAACAGGGGGTGTACGTTATCCACTTCTCCTCAAAAACTACTTTATGGAATTCATTTAGATTACACATGTGCTTTATACGGAGTCTAAAGGCGTGCATCTCATATTTTGATTTTGTATTTTATTTATTTTTCCAATTTTAATGCCGTTTGAACTTATATAAATTTGGTTGAATTTCTCTCTGAATATAGTGTTATAGGGGATTCAGTCTATCAACTTCTCCACAAAAGCTGCTCAACAGAATTGGCCTTCTATGTGTGTTTCATTGGGACTCTAAAGGTGTGCGTCTCATACCTTGTTCATCCAATTTCTTAATTTTGTCACTTCTACAGATGTTTGAACTTGAATTGGCTCTATTCATCCAGTGCGTCCCATACAACAGGGGGTTTACTTTATCCACTTATCCTCAAAAACCACTGCACAAAACTCATTTAGCTTACATATGTCTTTTATAGAGACTCTAAAGGTGTGCATCTCATATTTTGTTTTCGTATTTTATAATTTTTTGTATGTTTAGAAAATTGTGAACGTAGTTAAATTTCCTGAATTCCTCTCTGATGATAGGGAAATAGGGGATTAAGTCTATCCACTTCTCCACAAAAACTGCTCAACAGAATTGATTAAGCTTATACATGTGTTTCATTGAGACTCTAAAAGTGTGCATGTCATAGTTGCATAGATGTTTATTGAACTTGATCGTGAATTTTGTTCAATTATTGATCTTTATATGTCTTATGAATGTCATCGGGGGCATCCGTGTCCCTGGACACAATTTTTTCTTGTTTTAAAATGACTTACGTCCATTGGAGTGCAATCCAGAACATTTTAGGTCCTGGAAAGACTTGATGAGCAAATAGGCACGAGAGATAGTAGGGGTGTACCTAAGAACTAGGTGGGCACTTAATCTCTGCATTACAATAGCTTTTTGAACTTTTTTTGTAGTATCCTTGTCTGTGTCTCTTGTGTTTAAAGTTGTCTATAGCTTCTCTCACCTGTTGTCTATAGCTTCTCTCACCTGTTGTCTATAGCTTCTCTCACCTGTTGTCTATAGCTTCTCTCACCTGTTGTCTCTCACCTGTTGTCTATAGCTTCTCTCACCTGTTGTCTATAGCTTCTCTCACCTGTTGTCTATAGCTTCTCTCACCTGTTGTCTATAGCTTCTCTCACCTGTTATCTATAGCTTTTCTCACCTGATTTGAGCCAAGCTTTTCCCTGTGTGTCTGAATGTGTCTCTAGCATGAATTCAGAAGTAGTAATATTAATACAACAACAAAATAAAGTACATAGAAAAGTATTTCCAGTACTACGTGATCATTAACACTTTATACCACAGAATATTGTGTTTGCAGTTTTAGGGTTACTCTGCTTGCTAGTTGTAAACACTGTGCATGTGTATTGTTGGAAAGAACGAGAAGAGATATAGAAGATTAGTTTGTGTAAGCGTATCTATTTCATGAACCAAAAGATTTAGTTTTGTTGAACAAACTATCCACTGAGAGATCTGAAGGGTTAGAACTGCCATAGCCAGTCTAGTGTTGTTTACTTACCTTTAACGATCAGTATATATACTCAGTGAGTGATTGAGTTGATTAAAGTCACGTCAGCAATATTTCAGCCATATTGTGACTTGATAAAGGTATACGATAATCTTAAAATCTGTCATCGATAGACAGAAAAACAACTAGCAATATATGACATATTTGTTTTAAAACTAGTTATAGAACATTAAAACTGATCATTCGACACTTGTACATAAACGTGGGGCTAGAGGACGCCACCAAGGACACCCTACAAGGGACCATGGGGACTTACTTTACCTGTGCTACCTACATGGTTCCCCAGACGGATTTACACCTTTCATTAGTAACTGGCGGTTGTCGAAAGTTAGCCGGAGATTAAAACTGAACAACTATTCATCGCTTTTAAAATTCAAGTAGATATACCATTCAAAAAAAGTAGGGGATATTCCATTTTGCTAGCATACCACTAGCCACTGCCTGTGCATATGAGAAAAAGTAATATATATCCATACAGATGAAACATTTCCAAAGAAATGGAATAAATTGTCACATTTTCCCTTAATTTCTCTTCATAATCTGTTTCCTCTTTGGCTTCATCATTTGAATTTATCAATATTGTAAATCCAATATCCCCTACTTTTTTTCAATGATATATAATAACAATATATACTCAGCAGAAGTACACCCGGTTCGTTCACGGTACTATAGTTGTTGTGACGCAGTGACGGGTTTCCTATAGCAATCTGAAGGAATAGGGTGGTTTTTCAGGTTTCTTGTGATTGTGTAGTACATCTGAATGAAAGTTGGACGTTTTGTTTGTTTGTTTGTTCTTGTATTTTGCTTATCCTCCGTTGATCTATGATTTCTTTTCTTTGTGGATAACATGTTCAGCGGCCGACTGTCCCGTGTATTTTAAAGATATATTCAGATACTTGAAGGACTTGTGCATAAGTAATATTTACATGAAACTAGAATTATAACAAACAATTTTCGTTAGAAGGGAACGTATCTGATACACATTATACGTCTTTATTCAATTGAGCCTCTTCTAAGGCTGTAAACGGAAACTATGTTAGAAATATCTTGAAAGGAAGATTGGGAAAATAATCAAAGGGAAAGACATTGTAAATATTGCTCTTACACATTAGTGAGTGAGTAAATGAGTATGGTTTTAAGCCGCTTTTAGCAATATTCCAGCAACATTATGGTTGGTGACACCAGAAACGGGCTTCACACAGTGTACCCATGCGGAGATTCGAACTGGATCTTTGGCCTGATGAGCAAACACTTTAACTGCTTGGCTACCTCACCGCTCCTTCATACACAGTAAACATAAGTGCTTTGGAAATGAGGAAAGACTGGATAGATCAGCAGTAACTAGGCATGTGTTTTTGTATTCTTACCATGTAATACTTTAAGGACCGTTCATAATTTATGGCTAGTGTGGGTGATAATGATTTTTATGGAGAAGCATGTACAATGTGAATGACAAATAAAACAACAAAAAACACACCTACCCCTAAAGTCATCATCGCCATCTCCCCCTCTCTTTCTCTCTCCCTCTCCACACACACACACACACACACACCTAGCCGTAACTCGTGAACGGTCCCTTTCAGTGTGTGGATATCGTTGTTTTCTGGCTATGGGTACCTAATATTATATTACAGTGTTGAATACTTGAATATCTATGTAATAATACAATGTGTTGTGAGTACTATGGACTGATGGCCTACATTTTGAATAACTAAAGATTACCACATGTTGGACTTGAGTGTGCGTGTTTTCGCTGCTTTGCGCATTGTGCACTCTAAGCTTCAGCCATGGAGACCGTGCAATGTTCACACTTATGGGAGGGTTACACAAAGTGCGTGATCTAGACGATCACTTGTCAGACTTCCATTTTGTGGAAGCCGCGATGGCTGAGTGGGAAAAATGGCCGACTTGTGCTGTCGATTAGGTGCCGTGCGAGTGGGTTCGAATCTCGGATGGGACACAACCCTAAACAAGAACTAGAATGTGTATTGTAAAAGTGTAATCCTAATTTGTGGTGTGTATGACATGTACTAGTATTTACAGGAAATAAAGACATATGTTTCCTGAATAAGCGAAAGGTTGTGTCGTTTCTTCATTACAGGAAAACTGTTGAAACTGTAATTGTAATGTTACCAAGGTAAGACCAGTGGTTGATGGGGTGAATATTTATACAGTATTTTTTTTATACAACTAGGCGCCCTTAAACTGTCTGAAAGAAATATAAAACAGCACCGCCACACCCAGTGAGAGGCACCCAATACACAATAATTGTCACACATAAGGTCGGTTTCTCTGTAGATGTTTGTTTGAGGCTTCAGTTTCAATATTCCAGTTGCACAACAGCAGTCTGGACCAGACAATCCAGTGATCGATATTGCAGGGTATGCAATCTACCACCAGATCGACCTCGATCTTGATAGTTTATTGAGGCACCTCACTAAAGACTGTTGTGAAACAAGTGAGTGAGTGAAAAACAGCTTCATAGCTAAAGACCTGAAGAACATGATTGTGTTGGTTTGTTGTTCAAATGCGACACTCATCAACATTCCAGCTATATGGCGGCGGTCTGTAAATAATCGAGTCTGGACCAGACAATCCAGTGATCAGCATCATCAGCATCGATCTAGGCATTTGGGATACGATGACATGGGTCAACAAAGTTACTGAAGACCAATTCTAACCCGAATCTTTACGGGTGAATGTCTAATGAACTCTAGTCTTTGCTTGATCAGTCGTCAACTTGGACAAGAAGACAAAACAAACGTTACAATCCATACCAACAAATTTATTTCAGACACTTTTCTTCACAGCAAAAATATGACAGTTATTGAAATTCATATCAACATTCATTTTGCAAATTACGTAAAGACAAGCTGATATGATGTTCATATGACAATTTTTGGCAGGTCATTAACATGCCGACAAAAGTCAGAATTGTCTGCTAACGTAACGTAGTAACCAGAACTCTAAATGATATACAACAGTTTAATTGTCGTCTTTGGTCTGGAGCGCTGGCTGATCACGTGTTGGCTGATCACGATTCCCCTCCACCTCGCTGGTGGAAGTTGATACGGAAAGAAGAAGCATCTCATCTGAAATCATGTGACACCTGATACGTCCTTGCCTGGTCACATGACAGACACCCATATGCTCATTGGCTGATTGTGATCACGTGATGCCCAGCATGGCCAACAGTGATGCGGCTTGACGGAAGGATCATTGTATGTAACGAAGAAAGAAAAGTGGCCTACCTGTGAAATTAAAACAGAGATGACCTAAATAAGCTGGTTGAAGAACTGAGGGAAAGTGGATTGACCATCATCTGACAACATACAACTTACGCATTTTCACCTTTTTGCATTAAACAAAACTTTTGGATGTGATCCACAGCCACCCCAAACATTTGGCCCAGTGATGCACCAAGACTGCCAAACGATTGTGGGTTTCAAATAACAGTAAATATAAAATTTACAAACATTTTCATACCACGGAATATGCACTGATTAATGAACGACATATCATTTCCAGACTCTTGAAATTTGTCAATCTGGGCTAATGTTTCAGCTTTCACAAACATATCACCATTTTAAGAATATTGTACATGACGACAAACTGCAAAACGATTAATAAGGTCTTGCTCTCAAGTACACAGATGAAAATTATTCATTATCCAATATCCACTGTCAATTGTTTACTGAGCAAAGACGCTGCCACGGCAGAAATGTGGGAGGATTGATCTTAAATAGTGGTAGCTGTTGTTACCCTGCCTGGTGCACAGCATTAAGGTATGAGTGGGATAAAGATTCTAAACTGAGGTACGGTATCTCTAGGCTAATACTATATAACTGGCATTAGCCTATACTATTACAGGCAACTATACACACACACTTGGAGTAGTGCAATAACCTTGAAAATGTTTACCTTAATCAAACTCCTAACAACACTATTAGTAATATTTGTAAATGTCTTTTCATGAGGTCTCTAAAACCTTCCCTCATGGCGTCTATAAGAGAAATCGGACGAATCCACTTGGTGCACCACAACTAAACCTTCAGGTCAAACTAAAATGTTTTCAACTGAGTAGCATTCCCTGACAATTCCAGTCTCTCGGATGATATATAAAACAATGCTTTGAACCAAGAACAAATTTGTACCCTATTTACAAAATCGGAAACAAAGTTGAAAAGTTCTAATGTATATAGACCGAAGAAACAGATGTTGGAACCCTGTTGGTACTGGGTACTGTATTTGCATGCGTTCCATGCTCCCTAGCATTACCAGTATTCTATCTCATTCTTTTTGTGTTAACCTTATAAAGAGATCCTCAGCCTCCTGCTCCCAGATTGTACCTAGAAATGAAAATATTTTGTTTAGTACATGTTCAGAGAAATGGTGAGTGAAAAGCAGGTCCCAGGGCTGGAGTATTATCTGAAACAAGGACTATAGAGCTTGTAAAAACCTTGTCATCAGTCGTCCATCCAAAGTCTAAATTTCACAAAGGTTCTCTTCATTGACAGACAGCACCGTTCATTTTGGGACCAGTCATCTTGACACTATTTGGTTCAAATCCCTGTAGCTGACCCTCCCATGAACTAGCCACGAACAACTACTTAAGTCTACATTTATCTGGAACAATGCAAGAAATACCTTCATTTAGGAGGTCTCAACAACTCAGATACCACAGTGTTTCAGAAACCAACGACTCATCGGGTATTTCATTATTTGTCAAGCAGAGGTACAGATAAGCTGCGTATCTGCGTAAATTACGCAAATATTTATGTGAATACTCAATTCCTATCAAGTCTATTGCGTACAAGTACGCTTGAATTTTTGTAAGTACTCAATTAATTTGATCTTACATGTGTACACACACAAATGTCAAATCTTAGCTTGCATACCGGTAGATGGATAAAATAACTGAGAAATATTGAGAGGTTCTATTTCAGCACATGACCTTGGAAACTTGCAGTCTTTTTTTATCGTTTCTCTCATTACAGATCAACTATATATATATATATTTAAATATATTTTTACAAGTAATGGAAAATGGCAAAATATCCAATTAAGTTTGAGTGAGGTGGGTACAATATATTTGGTTAATCACAGGAAAATTAGGATACCCAATTGAGATTAACACAAGCGAGTACATAACTCAATGACCCAAAAAGTTATCTGTAGCTCTGGTCAAGTACATACATGTGCATCATTCGGAGGTGCAGACAACTAAATGTGTGAAGAAAGAAATTACAAAAGCGTTCAAAATATAAAATGTCCTCCAATGTTAAATATGTTGGAATACTAAGTCAATTTTGACAGTACAGTTCACCATTATTTCCAATACCGTACGGTTTCCTGTATTTGGTCACCTGGTAATTATTAGCTGTGTGACTATAATCAAGTCATTCCTGTTTTCTGATTCTGTCTGTAAAGTTTCTATTTTTATACTTGTCCTATCTCATACTATGCTTTCATTCCTTCAATCCTGGTGTGGAAACACCTCAGATCCAAGTTTCTAGTTTCGGAAACACAACAACCGACTCAAACACTTCCCACGTTCCCAGGGTTGCCACTGTGGGTGATGCACCACTGCAGTCTTGTGCAATTCAGGATAAGTAAACTTGACAAATTCTCATATTTGTCAAATTGTACTTATCCTGTACAGCCCTGCAGTCCACTTTTGTTTAATAAATAGAGACCAAAATACAATAGTGCGAGTCTGGTTTTACGCCGCTTTTAGCAATATTCCAGGAATATCACGGCAGGGGACACCAGACATGGGCTTCACATATTATACTCATGTGGGGAGTCTAACCCGGGGTCTTTGGCGTGAAGAGCCAATGCCTTAACCACTAGGCTACCCCACCGCCCCAAACATGCAATAGTGTGAGACAGGAAAAGTATTAGATAAGAAATTGAATGCCAAATTTACAATCTAAAACATAATTCATAATAAACAAACCTACTTCAAATATTTGTCAAATTGAATAAATGCCAAAATATGTTTTAAATATAACGTTCAAAATGAAGCGATTACAAAAACTATTGACAAATGACTAGTACAATGCTGCCCAATATAGAAAGCTGTGAACGCTTCATTCTACAAACACATACAGTGATATATACTAGTATATCACCTGTTGTGACAACAGGCATCTTAAATGTCACTCACGGTAGTCAATATCAGGCACTACTTATCATTACTCAAAACTGAAGACTCCCTCAGCTCCCAACTGTATCGAGTTCTGTGATTGCTTGACTGATGACCTTGACACACATCCTGTCAGGGGTCAATCTCCGCCAATGCAGTGGTAACGAAAGGAAATCAAAACAATTAGAATTAAGTTCTACAAACTTCCAATCTGTAAGCCTTATATCTTTTATAAGTTGGTTAAGAAATATTCTGGCCAATATTCAAGGTAAGTGGTCCAAAGGTAATCAGCTTCTTTTTATTAAAACATATTAGTAACCATTTCTTATGAACAACAGTGATTTATCTCAACTTACTGTGGCCCGAAATTGTTGAAAGTGTTTTTTTTCTCTCTCTTTTATAAGTTTCTATTGGCTAGTCTTGTTAACCAACTGAAAACATATAAGGTCTATTAGAACCTAGTCTACAAAACATGAGTAAAGGTAAGTCCATGTGTCTATTGTATTTATTACACAGTACAAATTCAAACCTTTCACAAACTTAGATGGATTTTCATTTACAAAATCATCATGAAACATATTAAACCTCTTTGCAAATGTGAGATTTGTCAACTTGTCACAGACTGACACAAGTATGACTTGCCTTCCACCATTTATACATCTGACAGGATGCAAAGCATCTTAGTACTAAGCAAAGGCATCAATTCATTCTAAGTCAACATTAATATCAGAGAAAATGTCAAGCATCAATAATAACATAAAAAACAAAATTATTACCACTTCTGAAAGCAGCTTAAGTCTTTAATTGACAAAGCATCCAGAGATGGTAGTTCCTGTACAAAGAAACAAACAATCATACAGTCGCCATGGTTACCATGATCACATGCAGTACATTACTACCGTATCCATAGTTACACATGTGGGAATACACAATCCTTTAAGGATACATTCATGTTTCTTTGGATGGTAGATGATAATCTCCACTGAAGATATGTACAAGGGCCAAATTATCCCCCCTCCCAAACCCCCTCCCCTGCAAAATATTGTTCACGCTCTTCTCAATCGTCAACAGTTCTATTTACTTTATAAAATGATAACAATGACTCATCGAATCATGGCTTTCTTGGGAGACAGGTTGATTATCATGATTAAACAACAGACTCGTTTTTATGAGATTGAGAATGGAATTGTGGTCATGTAATAACAAATCACTAAAGAGAGTGAAGATGGACTGTTTGATTTTCGGGTTGATCAATGATTTATATTTGAAACACATTCATTAAATAAACAAAATGTCAACTTCATAGTCAGGAGAACAAGATCCCATTAGCCTTAGAAAGAGGACATAATATACACAATATTCAATGGAAACGTCTGTGTCCGACATTTATGCTTTAAAAAAGAACTAGCTGATAACAACAGTCAGCACACACCATTTCCTCTTTATGGCAACTTTCACTGCTTCTGCAGTTAAACAAAGAAATAGTATGTCAAACTCAAACCATAAAATCTTACCAGACATATGTGAAAGGACGATGTAAACACCACTGAAAGAAATGGTTCAACAATACATGATAGCGTGTTCTACCCAACTCGGAACTTTCTGTGAAGCAGAGACCTATCATCATATAAGGAATAGTGTTATCGATGTGATATCATGATCCGAAACACTTTGTGTCCGGTCAGCTAATTTTGAAATACAGTCACCTCAAAGGAACTATTTGAGAATGTAATATAGTTACATATATTCAGAATCTGCTCGCTAACTACATTACTGACGTAACCAGTAACTATAGACAGTGTTTTCCTGATCTTTAGGTTGAGAAACACGGCAGCTATTGACATGGACCTATACATGATGAGGCAGTTCACTCAAAAACACTGTATTCATAGGAGTGTTTCTGGAGTTACTTTTTTTGAGAGAAGTTACATCTGATTAAGGATAGGATTAATACGACATGTTTCATCAATTCTGGCAAACATCAAATGTTAGAATTAAAAACAAACATGTATCATGCTCACCACAGGATTGCACAATACAATGTTTATTCTGAATATTCGCTATTTACAATCCGGAAACACTCAGCTAATAATCTGTTTACCGGTATCCTTACAAACAAAGCCCACTTTAGGTTATTCTCTATACTTTAATGTGTTTTCGGTTGGGTTGTCAGTATTAAGTCTTGTGGTCTTGTATGATTCATTAAACTTTGAGATGTCAGAAATACTTGCTGTACGTAACTATTGCCTCAGCTGATAACTAAATAGTGCTGAAATATTTCTTGCAGCTTTCAATATTTTCAACAACATTTTCCTATTCACAAGATGTAAGATGTTAGCAGGGTTAGGTTGTAAATAAGTCCATATTTTGACTTGTACATGTTTGAACATACCCTTACATGAACTGCTCTTTGATTGTATGACAAACATGCATGCTCCTTCAAAATATGTCAAATCTATAAAAATGCAAATGAAGAAAATACAGCCCCATCACAGACCAGTGCATATGGTAATAACGTGAAAACATGTTGCCAAGGAGAAGCTTCAGATTGTGACTGTACTGGACAGATTGACTGGATAAAGGAAATCCACTTATCTGGATGTGCACTTATCTGAATGGTGGCAAAACACAACCCTAACCATCCACAGCAAACATCTGAAACAAAGGTGGATTCAATGAGAACACCATATTCACAAAGGGCTCTCTGTTCATATGGACAAACAAACCTGTATACATCAATACTGCTTGTTCAATATTTATCCATTTAGAGATTTACCTTTTCCAAATGCTTTATCACCAAAAAAAATTAATCTATCTGGTTGAGAGGGATATCCATGGGGTCAGTTTGATTCACTTGTCAAAAAGTGGTACTGTCATGTAGAATGTTCTTAATATATATCTGTTTCAACCTCAGATTTTCTTGGAACTTGCAGAAGACATATTCCTTGACCATTTCATTTAATCCCAATTCTTAAATGTTACTTAACTAAACATAGGGTATAGTTAACCAACACTTTGCAACAAAACAAAAACCAATACAATCCTATAATATGTGTACATTCAAAAACAAAAGCTGGTTCAATGATTAAATTCCTGCAAAAAAGTCAGTCTATGTTTTTGGTTTGAGTTGCCACAGGAAGTCTAGAGTTTTTCTTGAATGAAGTGATGGGTGAGCTCTTGGTTAATTGATAACCTCTTGGAGGGATCAAGCATTATTGTCCGTTCCAACAAGTCTTTGAGTTGAGCAACTTTGCGCAGCTGGTCGTCTGGCAGCCTCTGGTATCCAACCATCTCTGCCAGCAGGTCCTTGTTGGGATTGATGTTGCTCAGCACAGTGACCTTCTCCTACAAGCCACAAAACACTCTCATTAGCTTTAGTTCATTCTGAGTCAGTAGTTTGGGTTGGCTTAAAATATTTCAAACACATCAAGCGTGCCAGCTACTGGTGGTCCGATGAATTGAAATAATCGAAGGTTGGTCGCAGTGACTAAACGACCAAGCAATCGATCATGTTTTCTCATAATCAAACACAAACAATTCTGGAACACTTGTTTTCATAAACAATATTTTTCACAAGGTTGATTTTGTCTGTTACATTTCATAACCACTACAAGTTTGTTTCAAGTCATGATTGAATTTATCTTAAAAACTCCAAGAAATTTATGTTCCTGACATACTTTAGTACTGTCGGAAATAGAAAAAAACTGTATTCTCTCATTTATCTCTACAATTTTTGTAGTTGATATGTGAAAGTGTGAAATATCTGTTAAACTAAGTTTCGGCCTAACTACAGTCTCAGTGGTAGAGAGATAGGAAACGGAGAAAAAGGACTTATACTGAGGGGAAATTAGTGCAGAAATGAGCAATGCGGTTTTTTACTAAGTCCAAAAAGACTTATTTGGAACAGACATGGCTTTATGCAAATTAGTGTGCGACGATATTGTATTACAAAGGACACTTTTTAAATGCTCAATTTGAAATTAGACGTAGATTCATTATAAACAATAGCTGACGTAAAAAATAATAACTTTTATGCTGAAACTATTAAGGATTTAGCTACCATGCAGTCTCACTGTCACTATAAAAACAAACAGATAGGAGGGGTCGCCTCAAAAGCAAAACCTGGGGTCGGGCTTGGGGATAGAGATATCAGCTAAGATAAGATAATCCTTTAGAGCAATTATACTGGCACGTCATAACAATTTACAAATAATATCCAGTCCTGTTGATCTTCGGGTGGTCATGCCACCTATATACTACGATGCGTTTCTATGGTTTTCGGGTATCATACTCTTTTACATATCTCAACATAAACTATATGAAACTATATGAAAGAAAGACACGTAAGATGTTAATCAATAGATGAGACATAGTCAACACACATGAAAAAGCACAAAATATCTTTGAGATGACCGCTTGTGCCTGTAGGAAGCACGTGCATTTCATGCCGGTATCCTCCCATTACCCCTACATCCCATTACCCCTACAGCTTATAACAACAAAGTTCACGGTCCAATGCACTGCTAATCCCCTTCCTGTTACCTGTTACCTGGACAATGGACTAGCCCAAACACATGAACACAAGATTTAATGTTTTAATTTATGGATTTAATTACCAGTGTTCAGGAATAGCGTCTGACCCTCTGACAAATCCGGCAGATTCGCCAACGGTCCGATAGAAATCTACAACCCACCTGTCTCAGTTTCTGACTGTATATTTCACAATGATTTTGACTGAATTTGTTATATGTGACATGTGACACTTGTTTGCTGTTAATAAATCTTATGTTTGTTAATAATTTCAATGCCAATTATAAGAAATGTTAAATCTGAAATGTGTGTTTAATTTTATTCTGTGGGTCCTGTGAATTTTCAATGGGTCAGACAGACATCTGAAACTTACTGGACTCAATGTCCTGTTACTTTGAAACACCATTCGTGAACACTGAATTACACGAATACATGAATATAATACACAGATATCTTCCTGGTCGTGACATGAATATGAGCAGCAGGTCATGTTAACTTTTTAACCGGACCTTCTGGCTATCCTCTGGCGGATGATTATGCACCGTCACATTCCTCAAAACATTTCCGACTGTTGTGACTCTGCTTCTGCAAGTTGACTGGACACACTTCCAGTGTAGAAAAGACTGTCTCTCGACATTCTTAGTGTGTAGATAACCCTCAAATAGGACTTGGGTGCTACCTCTCCGTGACATAACAAACTCAACATTGCGAGGACCAGCCATGTTGATGTCATGTTAGTTTGTTTCCAACATTTATATACTATGCTAAGTCATCTCAAATTACTTGTCTCATCTCAGTGTCAATTTCAACATTTACTTCATTTCATCTTAACAAACTTTCTCTGACCAAGAACACCTTAATCCTTTCTAATTTGTATACACAACACTTTACTATGCTAAGTCATCTCAAATTACTTGTCTCATCTCAGTGTCAATTTCAACATTACTTCATTTCATCTTAACTAACTTTCTCTAACCAAGAACACCTTAATCCTTTCTAATTTGTATACACAACACTTTACTATGCTAAGTAATCTCAAATTACTTGTCTCATCTCAGTGTCAATTTCAACATTTACTTCATTTCATCTTAACAAACGTTCTCTGACCAAGAACACCTTACTCCTTTCTAATTTGTATACACAACACTTTACTATACTAAGTCATCTCAAATTACTTGTCTCATCCCAGTGTCAATTTCAACATTTACTTCATTTCATCTTAACAAACTTTCTCTAACCAAGAACACCTTAATCCTTTCTAATTTGTATACACAACACTTTACTATGCTAAGTCATCTCAAATTACTTGTCTCATCTCAGTGTCAATTTCAACATTTACTTCATTTCATCTTAACAAACGTTCTCTGACCAAGAACACCTTAATCCTTTCTAATTTGTATACACAACACTTTACTATACTAAGTCATCTCAAATTACTTGTCTCATCTCAGTGTCAATTTCAACATTTACTTCATTTCATCTTAACAAACGTTCTCTAACCAAGAACACCTTAATCCTTTCTAATTTGTATACACAACACTTTACTATACTAAGTCATCTCAAATTACTTGTCTCATCTCAGTGTCAATTTCAACATTTACTTCATTTCATCTTAACAAACTTTCTCTAACCAAGAACACCTTAATCCTTTCTAATTTGTATACACAACACTTTAATATGCTAAGTAATCCTTTCTCTCAGTGTCAATTTACTTCATTTCATCTTAACAAACGTATCCTTTCTAATTTGTATACACAACACTTTACTATGCTAAGTCATCTCAAATTACTTGTCTCATCCTCAGTGTCAATTTCAACATTTACTTCATTTCATCTTAACAAACGTTCTCTGACCAAGAACACCTTAATCCTTTCTAATTTGTATACACAACACTTTACTATACTAAGTCATCTCAAATTACTTGTCATCTCAAATTACTTGTCTCATCCCAGTGTCAATTTCAACATTTACTTCATTTCATCTTAACAAACTTTCTCTAACCAAGAACACCTTAATCCTTTCTAATTTGTATACACAACACTTTACTATGCTAAGTCATCTCAAATTACTTGTCTCATCTCAGTGTCAATTTCAACATTTACTTCATTTCATCTTAACAAACTTTCTCTAACCAAGAACACCTTAATCCTTTCTAATTTGTATACACAACACTTTACTATGCTAAGTCATCTCAAATTACTTGTCTCATCTCAGTGTCAATTTCAACATTTACTTCATTTCATCTTAACAAACTTTCTCTAACCAAGAACACCTTAATCCTTTCTAATTTGTATACACAACACTTTACTATGCTAAGTCATCTCAAATTACTTGTCTCATCTCAGTGTCAATTTCAACATTTACTTCATTTCATCTTAACAAACTTTCTCTAACCAAGAACACCTTAATCCTTTCTAATTTGTATACACAACACTTTAATCGCTCCCATGGGTAAGTTCATTATGCCAGACAGGTAAATGCCGTGTGTTGTTTTAACTAATTGTAGTGGTACTGGGATGTAGGGGTACTGGGATGTAGGGGTAATGGGATACAACCTTCATGCCAGGTGAGTCGACGGTCCGTCGTCATACCTGGCTGAGCGACCTAATTGCCATCTATAGTTTTCAGCAGCTATTCGGTTTTTTTCTAAGTTTTGCCCGATTTTACGAGTAAACATGCTTTTCTGGATATCGTATTACGCATCCCAATGAACGCCCAGTTAGGCCGAAGTGGGTTATTTCGACATGTGCTATTTGCAATTGTGTAAATATTAGGGATACAGAGTAACAGCCTGAAAACAGTTTTTTTCTATTTCTGACAGTACTATAGTCATACTTTAAAGATGTGAAATTTTGCCAAAAAACCCAAAAGAACTACATTTTTTCCTTATTTTTATGTGCATTAACAAATTTCATTAATGATGCTAACCAATTTATTTCGATGATTGATCGGTTGTAACAAACCAATCATCAATTATGAGATTTTAACCAATTCCCAACACTAGTGTCAGCTGAAGTTGGGAAGACAAACTGAAGTTATATACATGCCAGATATTTTCCATCTGCATGAACAACCAAGATTAAAAGCCTGCGTAAATCTGAGATTCAAACCCACATTCTTAGGATTCTGGCATTCCCAGGGGCCGTAACTCTGCACAGCAATTTTTTTATATCCCTAACCCATTGTGCTAAAGTTATGTGTAATTTCAGTATGTCTATAAATCATTATCACAGAACAAGTAACTCACCCTCTGTGTGACTTTATCCACCTCATGGTACAAGAAGTTGTAGTTGCTGTCGAAGTGTTGTTCCTTAAACATCCCTTTGCGTATCATCTTATTGGGCATTTTACCTTTCACGTCCATGACAAACTTCAGCATCTCATTATTGGAGTTGCCAGGGAATAAGATCTTGCCTGTGTACAGCTCATAGATGGTGCAGCCCACGGACCACATGTCGATGGCATGGTCGTAACCCATGCCGATGACTGGAAATAATCAATAGTAAATCCATCTCACACTTTTCCCAAAAAACCATGGAGACAGTGTAGGTATTTGGATACATACATTTGACCCCACAAACAAGGGGAGGCAACTCTGCAGATGACTGGGCCACTTGCTCCACCTAGCACAGAAGCAGCTACATGATACACAGAGGTGAGGAAAGCAGCTTGGTCTCACAAATCTTGAACAGTAATCTTGGTTGATTTGAATCACTAGTTCTCATCACAGCATGTAAAGAGGTACATTAGAAAACCTATCAAACAGAACTATTCCTGATACCATTAACTGAATCAAGGTTGTATTCTTTGGCAGCAACAGTGACAATTTCTTTGAAATTCTGCTCTCCCAGTTTAACATGGCTTAACATTTACAAATAAATGCTATAACCACCTGGATATCACACTGCCTTCAACAGTTTTCAAAATTTTCTGTCTGTGATGGTATTCTTGCCCTAACACTCATGTGAAAAATGAATGGTCCCTTAACTTAAATCTCAGATGAACAAGCCCCAGAAAACCAGAAAACTGCACACGATTACTATTATTCATGTATAGGATCGCTCTGATGACAAAACGTTCAACTGACAGATGTATATCACTCACTGATCTCCGGTGCTCTGTAGAACCGACTGACAAGGTAGGGTGTGATGTCATTCTCAGACACATGAGAAGCAGAGCCAAAGTCACACAGCTTCAGCACCAGTTTGGATTCATTCACCTGCAAGAACAGTGGAAACATTAACACTTGAAACACCTTGGTAGAAAACAAAGGAAAAACATTATTCTACAGACCAGCATACCCAGAAGAGTTATTCCCCTTTAGTTTCAAACTTGTTCAATACTTGCATGTTATGGTGGTAATGGTACCTTTAGCAGGTGCCTTAGGAAACAGACTAATTGCTAACATGAAGAATGTATATTGAACTTTTTCTAGCCTTGATGTGCAAGTTGCATTTTTTTGGTATATTTATAATACTTATCCTATCTCATACTATTCAATGTTTTCTTGTTCATATGACGATGGAACCTCTTCAACCTATTCTAACATCTCACCCAAAAACTCCTGTTCAGTCTACTGTGGTGGGTCTTTAGAAGTCATTGTTAAGTTATGCAAAGAATTCATCTTGCCCCATTCATCATTCCCTTGACTTGGAGCCAGAATCACCCCAGTAATATGAACACCATGTTTAGTTGGGTGGGAATCCACCATGTGGGACAGAATAAGTATGTGTCAGACAGAGCGTCCTAAAAAAATCATCATTGTCAGGGATTGGTGAACCGGAAGCTCGCTAGGCGTTCTTCCTCATCCTCTTGGGTCTTTTTATGTAAAACAGGCCAAACGTTTCTGTACATAGCTTGAAGTCACAGTCTTTGGTTCTCCTTGCACTAGCCTTCCACTACACAGTAATATCATCATCATCATCATCATCATCATCATCATCATCATCATCATCATCCTCCTCCAAGTGATCACAGGAGGAACAGCGCTCTTCCTGATTACAAACACCACTACTATCGATGCAGGAGGAACGAAGGGTCAAAAGATGAAAAGTTCTTCTGCATCCTTACTTTTCTTTTCAGCCAGGACGAATCATCTTACACAGGCCGATAATACTTGCAAGCTTCTTAGGTATTAAAGTTGCATTCAAGCCCAAAATATTGTAAGAGAAAAAGAATTCTCTATGACAGGATGTCTTATGTGACAAGATTAGAAAGGGAATGATGTACGGTTGAGAGTCATGTGATTGACGCAAGACGCAAACATTTTGAGCTTACAATGACTGCCTGGAAGTACGATAGACAGAGCTGGTGTGTGTGCAGGCGAGGTGTTACAAGAAGCTGAAGACTTTGTTTCCAGGTTGTTTCCACTCCAGATTCACAAGAAGAAGAGAAAGTGTATAATGTGAAATAGGATAAGTAACATAGACTTAAGCAGTCTCAGCACTTAGGTTGCTTTGTTCATCAGCACCCTGGGCAAAGGTCAAACACCACCCATATTTATGACTATCAAAATTCAACTAAGTGGGTGAGTGGGAGGGTGGCCGGGCGGTCGAGCAAGTGAGTGAGTGTACTTTCAAACCAACACAATAGCACTAGCTGCCATTTCTTCATTCATGTAGTTTTGTTTGTTTGTTCATTTGTTCGTGTGCTGTTCATGCCATATTTAGGATGACAATCTGTAAAATGTAATTTTTGGAGTAAAATTGATATTTTATACTTATCCTGACTCATGCTCTTTTTGCTTGTCTTCTTCTTCTTGCGAACATAGTGGAACACTTGTATCTCCCTAATTGAAGCTCCCTTCAATTTAAAATCACTAATTAGTATTCACCACGAGTTACCTCCTTTCCACAAGCTCGGGAACGAGGGCGCCACCTCTACCCATGTGCCTCACTCTCTCCTCATATACTGAGCCCAACATTTGAATTTACAGGGAAATCCAAAGTGTTATTTGGGGAGGATGGGAGGGCTGACCTCATGAGTCAGGATAAGTATAAAATATCAATTTTACTCCAAAATTACATATTTTTCCTTATCCTGACTCATGCTCTTGCTTGTAGCATCCTCACGGAGCGGAGGTGGGAATATCTAATACTTTGGATTTTTAATAATTAGTGATTTGAACTGTGATGATTGTAATAACCCTATGGGAACTTCATAAAGGCACTGAATTGATGAATTCCTGCTGCTAACTTATCAGCTGCCATATAAAAGGTTATTACCATGTACTTATTATGATAAAGTATATATAACATTAATACAATGCTTAAGACTAATAGACTTAAGCTTGTTAATATGCTAGTATAAACTCCTTAGAGTTTGTTAGCTAAAATACTTTAAGATATAACATAGTACTAAGCTTAAGATATGATTAAACTTAAGCTAATTATATAATAGCAAACTCTTTAGAGTTTGTTAGTTAATATACTTATATGATATAGATATAATGCTGAGCTTAAGATATGAATAAGCTTTAGCTACATATATAATAGCAAAAACTCTGTAGAGTTTGTTAGCTAATATATTTTTATAATATGAGTATAGTACTGTGCTTAAGCTATAATTAACTTAAGCTACATATATAATAGCCAAACTCTGTAGAGTTTGTTAGCTAATATATTTTTATAATATGAGTATAGTACTGTGCTTAAGCTATAATTAACTTAAGCTACATATATAATAGCCAAACTCTGTAGAGTTTGTTAGCTAATATATATTTATAATATTAGTATAGTACTGAGCTTAAGATATAATTAACTTAAGCTACATATATATAGCAAAACTCTGTAGGGTTTTGTTAGCTAATATATTTTTACAATATGAGTATAGTAGTGTGCTTAAGATATAATTAACTTAAGCTACATATATAATAGCAAAACTCCGTAGAGTTTGTTAGCTAATATATTTTACAATATGAGTATAGTAGTGTGCTTAAGATATAATGAACTTAAGCAACATATATAATAGCAGAACTCCGTAGAGTTTGTTAGCTAATATATTTTACAATATGAGTATAGTATTGTGCTTAAGATATTATTAACTTAAGCTACATATATAATAGCCAAAAAACTCTGTAGAGTTTATTAGCTAATATGTTTATAGTGTAACCATAGTACTAAGCTTATAGTACTGAGCTTAAGTTATGATGAAACTTAAGCTATATATATATAATAACAAAACTCCGTCGAGTTTTGTTAGCTAATACCTTTATAATGTAACCATACTGCTTAAGATATGATGAAAACTTAAGCTAATTGTATAATAGCGAAAACAACCCTTTAGAGTTTGTTAGCTATGATATAAACCTAGTATTGAGCTTATGAAGGAAAACTTAAGCTACATATATAATAGCAAGAACTCCGTAGAGTTTGTTAGCTAATACATGTTATAATGTAACTATAAAGCTTAAAATATGATGAAACTTAAGCGAAATATATAATAGCAAAACCCTCTTTTAGAGTTTTGATAGCTAATATACCTATATGATATAAACATAGTACTGCGCTTAAGATATGAATAAGCTTAAGTTACATATATAATAGCTAAAACTCTGTAGAGTTTGTTAGCTAATACATGTTATAATATAACCATATTGCTTAGAAATATGATGATACTTAAGCCAAATAGCAAAAAACTCTTTAGAGTTTGTTAGCTAATCTACTTATATGATATAAACATAGTACTAAGCTTAAAGAACCACTAAACTTTGTTTTTTGTTACTCTTTTAACCATTACATATGAAAGATTTGTGGTTAGTCTTATGCGGAACACCAAATTTATTCTTTAAAAACTTGTGGTTAATTAATACCGAGCGATTAAAAGTGGCCAAAAAGTCGCCTGCTTCCCTCTCGCCCGCCAACGAAACCACAGACAGGTTACGTAACTCTGTCGCCAGAGCACTGCAGTGACGTCATATGAGGAACGATTTTCAGTTAGTTGTATAGAAAATGTGTAGCACGCTCATCATTTTGATGATTTCTCGACATCAACGGCGACATGCCCGAATCGTTGCTTTGTCGTCAATTGCTCTAGAGGGTCGGGCGATGGTGTCCCCATGCACAGATTTCCACAGGACCCGCAGTTAGGTGCTAAATGGGTTATGTTTGTGAGTGCTTGGCGGCGTTGTGGAAGCCTGAAGCGATATCTTACTTGTGTTCAGATCGCTTCACGGAAGTTAAAGAATCAAAACTACTTACTAGTTGTAGTAAAATATGCATATGATTGATGACCATAAAGATTTTCTATGACACAACTTGTAACATAACGATTTCTTCCTCGGAAGTGAGGTTGTGGTCAGTAACAATAATATTGTAAGTAGTATTATATTGACACCCACCTGCTGCCACGAGAGAAATTGTTATGATATACGCTATGTCATGCAAAATCCTATTGGCCATCAATAAAATACATATTTTACTACCAGTAAAAATAGTTGTGATTTTAACTTTCGGTGAAAACAAACCTAAATACCATTTATCCTCAGACTGGCGGATGTTCACGACAGAGCGCCATTTTAAAAAAAAAAAAATCTGTTAGAATTAATGAGATTATAGTTTGTTTTCATCAAGTTAGAAAATCAAGACTACTTTCTACTTTCGTTGTTAAATATGTATTGGAATCATAACCAAACGGATTTTGCATGACACAACTTATAACATAACGATTTCTTCCACGGGCGAGGTGGGGTCGAAGTCACAATACTATGCGATAAATTTCTTGCTACATTCACATGGTTAATGTCCACTCACCAGTATGTAGATACTAGTCAATGTGCGTCTTTATATTTGGTCTTATAATCCTAATTAGTTTATTATCACACTTGTATGCATTTTGAAACTAAATAAAAAGCAGACGATCTGCTGATACTTATAGTGAATTTATAACAGAACTGTAGTATCTAGACATTTTATAGTTTGCCAATGTGAATCATAATTAAGCACACACACCCTAGTGCATATTGTCTGTCTCATTACACTTCACGGGCGAAAACAATGATTCTGTTGAATGCTCACGACAAATGAATAAAAACAAAATGCAAATATTAAAATTAAAACAGATTAAAGTTATAGGAGCGATATCAGGCCATTACCTTGTTCGAGGAATGTATCCATCAATATCCACAAAACTGTTCCAAATGATGTGTCTTTTAACAGTTTAATATCTGAAAAAGTGATAAATCTTTTCAGGTATTGGTGTATAGTCTCATTGGTCACCCAA